CGCAGCGGAGGCCGCCGGGGCCCGCGGCCGCGCTGCTGTGGGGCTGCCTGCTCCCGCTGGTAGGGGCGGCGGGGCCGGGGGTGGCAGGGCGCGCCGGGGCGGGGCGCGCGGGACCCCCACCGCTTCCCGTTCCTCCCTCCCCCTGCATCCCATCCCCCAGCCACCCCATCCCCAACCGCCCTCCCGCCCGGGCCGCAGCCCCTCCTCCCCTCCAGGGCGTCCTGTGACCTTGGGTTCCCTTGCAGTTCCGCGCTGCTGGCATTTTCACACTTGACCTCCGGGGTCCTATTGTCGCCTCTCTGTCCCTTCCTGACCTCTTCCCCCGAAGAGGAGAAAGCACCCAAGGTCCCAGGGGCGCGAGGGCTCGAGACTGAGCTTGGGTTTAGCTGTACCAATGCTGATTTCTTAAAACAAAAATTTAAAAAAATTGTTTAGTGTTGCCTTCCGCGTCTAGATCCTGCTTCGCCCACGTGGTTCCATTGGGAGTTTGTTTTGGGTGTGGGTTTTGTCGTTGTACTAATTTAACTTATAAAAGTGCACACCCGAGTGTCACACTGGTGGGCTTTCAGTGCTCTCAAGAAGTGGAGGCTGATTATGGGAAGAATGACAAATACAGGTTGGCGCACTTGTTCCATAAGGACCAAAAAGTGGCAGCGTTTTCAGAGCAGCATCAAGTCGTGGTGGCCGGGCCGGTGACCCGGAAGCCAGCGCGCTGCGGGGCACCTCACTGGCGGGGTTGCAAGTTGGCAAATTCCCGATTGGTTGGGGTCCTGAGCTAGTGTGGAGCCGCCTGGTTCTTTCTGTTGGACAGATGACCTCTCTGAAATAGGACGTTTTGTTTGACGGGTCACAATGAGTGCTGGTGGCCAAGACCCATGTGTTGTTAACCTTTGTTAAGGAAAGCTAAGCCAGAGAGCTTTAAATGCCTTTGATGTCTTCATAATTGTCCTAGGCAATATCAGGAACAGGAGCGAGAGAGAATGTATGGGAAAGTTGCTTCAAGGGTGCAGAGAAGTACAGTACAAAGTAAACACCAGGCTGGGTCTCAAGGCATTTGATCTGTGATCGGACAGATAATTCTGGGGTCCGAAAGACAGCAGTTGAACTAGTTCGTAAGCCGCGTATCTAACTCAACAAAGTGTCTTTGCTCTTGCTTTCGTTTGACTCTCTTGATCCTTTCTCAGCGTAGGTGTGAGGCCAGGTATCATTTCCTCAGGAACTCTGACCCCTTCTCCAGGAAAGTATAAAGAGGTATTCGCCGTTTCATGGCTTCACAGATCTGAATGCGGCTCAGTTTTAAATTGTAGCTCGCCCATCTTGTCCACTTTCTGAATTTTAGATTTTTGGTATGGATTTTATTGTGTCTTCCCAAGGCGATCTCAGGTTCTGTCCCCCACAGTCCTGGGTTTGCTGCCAGGTTTAAGCAGGTTTGTTACTGGGCAAGTACTTGGTGCGCGTCTGTTCTGTGCTGATCACTGGATCAGCTGAAAAGCCCTTTAAATTGGGCCGTTGTTTTGATACCAGTTGCTTTTCTGCCTTCTCTCGTTCTTGTTCATTTCCCTGTGGATTTGTTTTCTTCTTTTCCTTAATTTCCTGAGGTGATCTCTTTTTATTTATTTATTTTAACCCTTCCCTTTCCCAGGACCTTGGATGAACTGGTTTCTCTTTTTAGACAGGCTCTCCATATGGAGCCTCAAACTCTTGGTGGTCCTCCTGCCTCAGCCTTCCCAGGCCTGCGTCACCACACCGGTTTAACTGGTTTTGCTCTCCTCCTCTGTAGCGTTCTGCCTCCTGCTAAAGCCCTGATGGCGGCTTTCCGCTCCTACCCTCTTGCATGAAGTTTGTATGGCTTTCTGTCTGAGGCCCTCCTTCGCCCTGAAGCTCCAGGTCGCCTGCTGCGTTCCCCTGCGGGAGCCTCCCAGCCCCATCATGTGGCTCCTGCTGTGCAGCCTCCTGAGGCAGCACCACTTCTGCTCAGCCCTGGACTAACAGGGCCAGAGTCTCATCTAGCACAGCGCACTTAGCGTTCTGGAAACCAGCACAGAGGGCTTCGGGCGGGAAAGCGCCTGCAGGTCAGGGGCTTCCGGGCCTGCAGGTCAGGGGCTTCCACACCTGCCTTCTCATCTTCCTGTCACGTGACTTGCCCACATGTTTGGAACCCAAGCCAGGCATGTCCGCTGTGCTGATGATTTGATTTTATTTCATTATGTTGTCTTTTTGAGTCTCGCTATGCATTTCACTGGCCTTGAGCTCAGTTTGTAGCCCCGGCTGGTCTCTAACTCATAACAGTGTTGGGGCTGGGGCGATAGCTCAGTGGAATAAGTGCTTGCCTGGCAAGCGTAAGGGCCTGAGTTCAATCCCCAGTTCTACTTAAAAAAAAAAAAAAAGCCAAAAAACAAAAATCAATAAATAAAAATAAAAAATAAACAAACTCGTAACAGCCCTCCTGCCTCCCTCTCAAGTGCTGGGGTCGAAGGCATGTGGCGTCATGCCGGGCCTGGTGATTTTTAACATTTGAGGCCGGCCTGGACTATGCATCGAGTTCACAGTCAGCCTCCACTCTGGTGAGCCCTTGTCTCAGAAAACCAAAACACACACGCACAAAACCAAAACCAAACCAAACATGCCGTGCACGGTGGTACATGCCTGTAACCCCAGCACCTGGGAGGTTGAGGCAGGAGGATCAGCAGCGGTTCAAGGTCACCCTACACTACAAATTGAGACCCTTGAACATTTAGGTCTAGAAACAGAAAGAGCGCCTGACAGATGGGCGGCCTTATCTTCTTGTTTCCTGCTCTTCCTTCTTCAGTGCAGTGCCAAGCCCTAGCCCCAGCTGCCTTTTTTTCATGGTTTGGATCCAGCTGCAGCTTCAGGGAAAAGTGATGTTTAGCCTGGTTCTCAGATTTCCTAAAATTGCTTCAGAGTTTGCTCAGGAGTCCTGAGTCTTTCCAGTAATGTCCCCTGCCCCTAGTTCCTTTTTTTTTTTTTTTTTTTTCTTAGACAGGTTCTCAGTTTGTAGTGTAGGATGACCTTGATCCTCCTGCCTCAACCTCCCAGGTGCTGGGGTTACAGGCGTGTACCACCGTGCAC